ACGTTATTTCTACGCCTACTCTCCTAGTGACAGGTTTTCTTTCACCAACAATATACCTAAATTCTTGTGGTATTCTCACTAATTCTTGTTGTGTTCTTTTCTTTTTCAAATTCAAGTCTTTTGGTCATGATTTCAACCTCACTGTTTCTTATGATGTTCAATGCAAAAATTTTTATTGAATAGTCAAGAGCTAAAGGAGATTGTGATGCCTTACCTTTTCTTTTCTCTTTGCCGCATCTCCACCCATAGGACGTTGAACTGTAAAACCACCAACAGTCCTTCTTCTGAAGTTCTTGATCTTTTTGTGCTTCCACCACTTTCTTCATTATCCACTTCATATTCTGCGCTGAGAAAGTGTCATGGCACGTTCTAACTGTAAATCCCACTTGGAATGTTTATACATAACTTTGTTAAAAACAAGCAAGTCATTAAACTTGCTCCCACCCATCTCATAAATTGCATGAGCCTCTTTTTCAACATCTTTCATACTCATTCCGCTCTTTTTCTGTCGATATGCTTCTCTGTACGCAACAGTCCATTTGTTTGCACTTTCTTTAAGTTGTATAAAACGACCTTTCATTTGATTTATGTTCCTGATTTCTAATCCTTATGCATTTTATGCTCGAGTTTTATCATAGTATTCTTTCACTCTTGACTAAAATGTCCGTGTCTTCTACTTTTGCCTTGAGTAGGTTCTTCACTAACGTAGGTCCATGATAACATCAACACCATATCTTCTTTGATTTTTATTTATCGGCTCTTGGACTCTTTTACGGTGTTTGGGTATTTTTAGGGGTAGGAACTTGATTATCATAGATGAAAAATTCAGAGTTTTCATATTGTGTGTTTGGGTGATACTGGGAGTTATCAGGATGTTGAGAATTTGAATTTTTTTTTGGAAGTTTGGATCCATAGTAGAAAATTGAAAAGTTTTTTTTAGAATTTACAAGATAACGAGAGGATTGAAATGGAGAGAAATATTGGTGTCATGAAAATATGTAAATATGGGGCTCTATTTTTAGGGAATCGAAAATCATGAATTTTGGTATACTTATTATGTATTATTTATTATATTTTCACTTGGGATTTATGATGGTTAGACTACCAAGTAGGCACTAAGAAGTTTGGGTCTTGAGGTGATACCTTTATGGTAGGCAGTAAGAACCATAAAGCTTGAGGTGTTACCTTGAGTGTAGGCACTAAGTTTTTGTGAGGCTTGAGGTGTTATCCAAAGAGATAGACACTAAGGTCAACTTAATCTTGAATTGAAACTTGTTAAGAGTCACTAGGTACTTGAACCTTATGATTACTTATGGACACCCAATCCCATTGGATGAGGAGCATACTCTTGTATCTCGCTACTCTCAATGGATATGGGTATCTCCCCTTAATTCCAAAACGACGTTATGTTTGGTTCACAAATGGTTATGATTATTAATTGTTTTGTGATTGCCTACTTTATGTTCATGCTCACTAGGATTTTTGGCCTAATGCTTGTTTGGTGTCGGTATGTATCTTAGGTTCAAAAGGTGGGGATGCATAGGTGTCCCTTTACCAATCTTAGGGAGCTTATGAAGCATTTTGAGACGCCATTGTTTAAAGTATTTTGGTGGTTTTGGTGACACCCAAATGTAATCTCATTTCTTTAAGGAATTAGATAAGGCAGTTGTTACCCTTAAACCTATTTGTTTAAATTATAACTAACTAGCGTGTTTAAGTTCTCGTTTTTGGGATGGGCTCGTATTCTGATATTTTAATACCACATATCCAGTTTATTTGGAAATTTTTGTTGTCCCATTTTTGGGATGTTATAGAATTGAAGCAGTCCACATGAACTGCTTGTATTTAGCTACGTGTTCATTAGCATCTGAGATACTAGAGTATATGGGGTTAATGGCTAACATGTTGTATTTTTGGGGATATAAACTAGTATATGTGGTCATCAAAAGAAGATGCTTGAAAATCAGTGCAAGGTTCCACGTCTACTGAGACGATAACCCTTGGAAGTTTAGATAACCACGTTTGAAGTTTTTTATTTTGTACCTTCAGAATTTTAGGCGATGAGGTGTTACATCGTCTTGGTTACTCGTTGGTTGTGGGATGGATTCAAGAGGAGGAGTTATTCTAGAGCCTTGGGCGTTAAGTTCAATTATCACAAAAAACCGTTTATGTGCGACATTCAAAATAATCCTGGACATCGGAGGTGGAAAATGGAAGACTAGGGATCAGAAATCTTGTACTAGGTATAGTTGTCATGGATATCGACGACAGCGGAACAGTGGCTTGAAGAAAAAAATCATATGCGGTGGACATGATGGAAAAGGGGGTAGAATTTGAGTTTGTGGATTCGTGGTTGTGGTATCAAGAAATGGAGCTTCAGTGTACGAAGGCATATTAAAGGAACTCCATGGGAAAGATTGAGAAAAAGACGGTCCCACAACATTTAAAGAATTAGGCGTTGTTCTTTGTAGGAAATTGTTGTTTTGCTCAACTAAACGAGCTATTTGCTAGCGATCATCTTTTATTTCCGCTTATAGTAAAGCAATGATATCTTGTTGATTACCTGTAGAAGCCATTCCTACACATAAAATGAAAATGTAAGCCTGAAAAAAGCGTTTTTATTTCAAACGAGAATCTCTAGTTGTAGCTCCTTGGTGGGTGCCAAACTATTTATGCCAAAAATTACACAAGTGAAAATATAAATGAGACAAGAGATTTGATGATGCGGAAAACCCTGTTGAAAGTAGGGACGTTGTCCTTAATAACAACGATTACAATGATAGGTCGTGGATAACCACGAACTGACGTGCGTAAACTTAAGAAAATACCATCAGTATCTTTGAAAATGTCTAACAAGTTGTTCTTTGTGCTATAGTTTCTGTTCTTGTGGGTAGATGTGATCAAATCGAATTGAAAGAGCTTAGTCGTTTTTTGCTCGGATGTGCTTGGTCTTCTTATAGGTGTTTCTAGTAACGTTGAAAACAGTCATCTTTAAATGATCTTTAATATGATAGCAGTTGAGTCTTAATGGTGTATTTGAATGTCAGTCGTTGGTTATTCCTAGTGCATCAATGAAGTGAATCCAGGTAATTAATCTTCAAGACCTATAATAAATGACAAAAATAACGGTTTTCAAAGATAAATAAATGTTAGTAGCTATGAGTTATTTTAAGCTCAAGGGCAAAATAGTCATCTTGCCATTTTTCTCTATTTTTCATCCATAGCTATGAGCTCATCCTTGGCATCAAGCTCATATGTTTTGGCTTCTCTTATGATGTTTGTCTTCTTTCTCCTTGAGTTGAGGAGTTGTTGGGTGATCTCATATTTCTTCTTAGGTTTTTCTTCATATGTTTGGAACGATCCTTCTAGTTGTTTGATCATCATTTCTTCAAAATCTTTCTTTAATTGTCACAACGCTTAGTTTAAACTTGGAATCTAGTGAATAGAGTATGATCTTCTCCATGAATTCATCCAAGTTGTCTCCAACTTATCTCCATTTCTCTTCATTTCATCAGAGAACTTGGATGATTTCATATACAATGATTCAAATTCACCTCTTTGACGGCATACATTTTTCACTTGTTCCGCTCCTTTATGAGATGTTGTAATTTCTCCCATGCTTCTATGAAGGTTGCACCAGGACTTTTCTCAAAACCATCATCTTCTAATGCTTAATAGATGAAGGAGAAATCTTTCTTGTCCCTCTTTCTCATATCCCTCAAATCACCTTTTGTGCATTGGTAAAAGACGTCATTTTTTGGTACACTAGTACTAGGGATGTTCACAGTGTGGTTTAGGGCCAAACCGCAAACTGCACTGCATATGTGGTTTGAGCATTTTTCTCAAAAACCATAGTTGTTGTTTTGAATGTAGGACTTGAAATGATGTCATAACCCCTTTTTATACTACTAGTCATAACTTCAAGTCATAGGTTACTTTCCAAAACATAAATTACCCTTAACATGTACACAAACTTAATCACAAATTATTGGAGCATAATAAAGACTCATCAATGTAGCCTCTTAATTTTAAATAAATCAGACCAACTCCACTTCTTTGAAGCTCATTAATCTTCTATTTTCTAGAATAGTACTCTCATTCTTGGATTAATCTTCCACTCCATAAAATAAGTATACAATTCTACAAATTGAAGAAAAAAGTGTAAGAATTTTACAGTTTTTAGTACATTATATATTCGCATGGATTCTTCCGCTACATTCCTTTTAAATGGCACAACATACCGCAAATTAATACATGCGTGGATTTTTCGTCATGAACAGTTTAGGTTGATCGAGTGGTTACTGAAATAATTCATTTCGAATTCCAACCAAAAATGCAATCATCCTTTTCATCCAAAGTGGAAAACTATCTCTCACTACGGGGTTTGTTTAGCATGCAAAATCCAAATGGAAACATATACCCTAGTATTGATAGTTTTGCACTCGATTGTGACTCTCAAATTTTTTATCAACTATGAATTTTTGTGTTCTTCATCAATTGCAAATTGTGTAAATCGATATGAGTGCTTGTTGAGTGAAGAGGTCGTCACTTGTATTTATACTTGATTCGAGTGGGAATCGAGTTTTCTAGAGCATGTAATCTTTGTTGTCGATGTGGCATCAAATCTGTTACGAAAATCTTCACATACATGTTGAAACTCTATGATCCATTCACTAGGAGCCTTACTAACAAACTTGATAAAGTTTCAACACGTGTTGTAACACTTTAGATAACATTTGTTATTGTTTCGTCCTATAAACTTAAGTCCTATAAAATAGTTAATAAGAACGTTTAGTATTTATTGCATCCTATAAACTCAATTTTGATGTAATGGTTTCAGAAAAGAGCATAATATGAATATATGTGATGAATTGAGTAGCTCATATATTTTCATCTGTCTAAAATCCATGAATACATACACGCTTGTAACACCCAAATATATGTATATATATATATATATATATGGTTTGAAACTTGTAAAGTGAAGTTGAAATAGTAGTCTAATGAAGTGGAGAATTGAGACCCTCTTGAGAAGATAGCGAACAAACAGGTTGGTGTCTCTTTGAAGGAAAAGATGATGTCTTCCTGAAAGATGGTCTGTTGTTGAGATGTTGCAGGGCATACAATTTGCGAAACAATGGCGTGGCTCTTTCTTTGAACTTGAGTATGGCAAAGAAGAGCAATCTGTAACAGATGAGAATGGCAACAACCACTCCCAAATCCCACCACTTGGAGTGTTGAAGTGAAATCCCAAGCATGGTGGTTAGGATGAATTCACCAGCAACTTTTGGCTCCCCCCCTTCATATGGACCATCAAACACCATCCCAATCATGTCGTTCTTGTAAGCTCCCTACCACATTCAGTTATACAAAATCTATGTTATAACACTAATTAACAAATCATGTGTGCTAAGAGGATATCATTAGTATATAATGGGGTATTTTACACTCATTTTATACGGTTTTTATGTGAACTATAGTTTTTGTTAAGGTTTCATGGTTACAAATGTATGAAATTCATGTATTTTTTTTACTTTATTTTATTGTATATTAGATTTATGATTTTTTAAGTTTTAATAAATTTAACTTTATGTATTCAGTTTATATAAATTCATATGAATTTTCTTTACTAATATTGTAGATGTTTCTTTATATTTAATTGAATGTTTGTTTAAGTTAATATGTAAATATAACTTAATTCAAAATCAGTTATGAACAATTTTGTTTCTGTTAAATCTTAAAACAATATTATAATATAGGGAAAGTTTAAAAAAACTGAACAAGTTCTCATTTTGAATAATTTTGCCCCTAAGCTATTGTTTTTTTAATAAAAAATTATTAAACTGTTTTATTATAAATGATTATGTCTCCGAACTATTTTTTCATTTAAAAATCATTAAACTTTCATATTTTGGATGATTAAGACCTTGAATTTAAAATAAAAACCATTGAACTTTTCCTAGTCAGAAAAAATAATTTTTTTGTGTTAAAAGGATGTAGGTAACCTATTTGTAAAAGTGTGATGTTTATTCTTAAACAAATGTTTAAGGATTTAATCAATTAAAATAATAAAGTTTAATGGTTTATTTAAAAAAAAGTTTAATGATTTTTTATTCAAAAAAATAGTTTAAGTACTTAATCATTTAAAATATAAAACTTTGTTTGTTTTTTTTTGAAATTTGTACCTGTAATATAATATATCAAGTTATTATAGAAATTTAAGTATTTGGGTATAATTTGTAAACTTAATAAATATATAAATATTAATAAACAAAATTTATATACATAATACATGAATATATATATATATATATATATATATATATATATATAAAGGAACGATCAAATGCAAATCACCCATATTTATACAAACCGTGCAAACTACCCTTATCCGTCGATTTTATTGTATAATTTAATGATTTTGTTTCATGAAATTGTTTAATATTATGAAATTGTTTCATATAATACTTTTCTAGAGGAAATTGTTTCATATATGATCATGAAATTGTTTCATATAATATTTATGAAATTTTAATGAAACTGTTTCATGTATTTCTTTAAAATTAGTATAATGATTGTGATAATATCCATGATTAATACCCTCCACAATAAAAATTATTAATCAACCTCTCATAATTACAAAGAAAAATGAAAAAACTAGAAAAAAATAAAAAATTATGATTGGTTGAATGAGTTTTGTACGGTTTTATACAAATAATATGGTTTGCAAAGTAAACCTCCTATATATCTATATATATATATATATATTTATTATTTTGATTTAAGAAATGGCATAATAGGTTGAAGAAAAAATGGTTGGAGATGATCTAAATTCATAGAAAATTACCTGTAATGCCCATGACATAGAATTGATGTAGGAAACTGGATATCGCCAAAATAGCTTCGGAAGATCAGGAAGCAGACGGAAGAACCCGGCAGTCATCATCATAATACCCTGCAAAACAAAGATAATATACATATACATAATATATATATATATATATATATGTGTGTGTAATTTGTAAAGTTATAATATAGAAACAAGGGACGGTTCAAATAAGACAAAAATGTTGAGAATGCAAGAACAAAATTTTCATATATGAATGATTGGCAAACCTAAAAAAGAATTCATTTGAATATACATGTATGAAATCACATTTATTTATCTACTTTTTTACCAATTATTCACATATGAAGATGCACATGAAAACGTACGTCACTTTTACCAAATGATTCGTATGTTCTTAACATCGTTGTCTTTCTTATTTGATCCTCCATATATATGGATATTACTAAAAACCTATTTAATTATAAATAAATATGAACATACTAAGAATATCCCATGTTTATGTAAGAAATAGTATTGTAATTGGTTGGAGATGTTCTTACAATGAAGCCTGCACCAACGATGATCCCCATCATGAAGTTGGGAACAAGTGAAGCAACAACCATCATGCAGCTTTCTACGACCGCAATGGAGAATAGAAGATCAAGACAGGCATACAAAATACGGGAGAAACCCGATTGGAATTTCACCATGTTATACGTTACGATTGCAGTAACGAACGACATCATCGTCAAGAAGGGGAAGGAAGATATGAAGTTTGAAATTATAAACACGCCTACTCCATAGTGTCCATTAAGCCTTTCTCTATGGAAGATCTGTTTAATTATTTATATATGCCACACAACAAAGACAACTTAAAAGATAACCCAAACATATGGTGATGCCATAAATCTTTTACTAAAAGAGGTAATTATAACAAAATCGACTTTAAAGAATTATAGAACTTACATTTATAAAACCAAGAAATAAGACGTGAGGACATATTTTGGATATTCTAACAAGTTTTTTTGTACACTAAACGATGTTTCCATCTATGTGGTTTGTGAAAATTTGCGATTCCCGTTCTTACCTTTTTAAAATTACAAATTCCGTCCCTATGGTTTATAATGCATTGATGTTTTTGTCCATGTGGTATACAATTCAATTGTTGTTTTCATCCTCGTGGTATAAAACTCATTGTTGTTTTTTACCTCATAATCAATATAAAATTCATTGTTGTTTTTCACCTCATAATCAATGGTAAACCACTTACAGAGTTAGCTAGCCTCGGGGACGAAAATATCAATGAATGCAAACTAGACAGACAAAAAGCCTTAATTTCAAAAGCATAAGCACAAAATTCGCAATTTTTTAACAAACCACAAGTACGAAAAAAGTTGTTTAATCTGAAGTGTGTTATTATTGGACACTTTTCAGATGTGTACCATGAACAACTCTTTTTTAGGACACATGTTTTTATAAGACATTTTTTTTCCAAATAACGTCATATAAAAACATTAATAAAATGTTTTATTCGAAAATTATCCTAAAAACTTTTTGGGAGTCTAAAAGCATGGCATATCAACTTATTGTAACTAACTTGTATATGATGCATAATTTTTTGGTCTAATAAGAAATCTATATATTATGAAATTTAGACATATAATATGATGTTGAAAGAGAGTAATCCCTTGATCTTCCAAAAATCTTCAAGTAGTACTAATGGTAGGCTAGCAATCTGATACCGTGACGGAAAGTGTACAACTCTAACTTTGCCTCGAGCGATCTTTTCACGAACAAAGTGAATATCCATCTCAATGTGTTAGTGCGCTAATGTTGAACCATTTGCCCGATAAATAGATAGCACTAATGTTATCACAATATACCAAGGTAGCCTTTTGAATAGGAAATCGAAGCTCAAGAAGAAACTAAGCCAACACGATTCAGAGAACACATTGGCAACCCCCCAGTATTCTGCCTCAAACACTCGATCATGAGAGCATGAGTTGCCACTTTGCTGACCATGAGACAAAGGCTCGAATGATGTGGTTAGAACAATGTCATCCACGTATAAGAATAAATAAGCTACATCCTGACCATGGGCATAGATGAAAAGAGAATGATCTGAGGTGCTCGGTGAGAACCCTATAGTCGCTAGAAACTCCGTAAAACGGGTGTACCATGCTCGGGGGCTTGCTTGAGCCCATATAAATACTTTTTAAGCAAACAAACATAGTCTGGGTGAACCAGGTCACGAAAACCAAATGGTTGACACATGTAAACAGTCTCCTTAAGGTTTCCATGTCAAAATACATTCTTCACGTCAAGTTGGTGGATACGCCATGACTTCGACATATCTAGACTAAGAACCGTACGGATGCTACCAGCTTCACAACTGGACTGAAAGTCTCCTCGCAATCCATGCCCTCTTGTTGAGTGTTGCCATCACCTACAATGCGGGTCATATGCCTCTCGAAAGAACTGTCAGCATGCTCTTTATGAGCAAAAATCCACATAGATCTGAAAACATTGACATTAGGAGGACAGGGCACCAACTCCCACTTTTTATTTTTAATAAGAGCATTGAATTCATCGTCCATGGCCAGTTTTCGATTAACATCATGTAAGGCCGACAATGGGTCACGAGGTAAAAGGGAACGTGAGAATGTAGAGTGGATATTAAACGGAATTTTGGGTTTGAAAATGTCACTTTGGCTTTGCGTGATCGGACGTGGTGGAGGTGGTGGTTTTCCACGGGTTAGAGAAACCGGAGAAGCTGCTGTAGGCGGGCTTATTGGGTTGCTGGTTGTGGGAAGGGGTGATGGGGAAGTTGGGCTTGTGTTTGTCGTGCTCATGGATTGATCTATAGGCTCATGAGATGTAGACGTAACTAGAGATGATGGAGAAAATATGGTGAAAAACCATATTCTAAGAACTCATAAGAAAGTGTGGTGATGAAGAGTGCATAGTGGCAAATGGGAATTTGTTTCATCAAACACTACATTGCAGCATATGATGATCTTTCGAGAAGAAAGGTCGTAACGTTTGTAGCCGTGGTGGATGGATGGATAACCCAAGAATACACACAGGGTTGATCGGGCTTGGATTTTATCTGTGTTAGTGGAGGGAATGAGGGGAAAACACAAACACCCGAAAACACGAAGATGGGTATATGAAGGATCCTTTTGATTGAGGACTTTAAGAGGAGAATGAGATTCTAATTGCTTGTTAGGAAGTATGTTTAAGAGATGGGTCCGTTTGCAAGACGTAAGGCCAAAACGTGGGCGAAAGAGACACATGAACAAGAAGAGTACGGATCATGTTGTTAAGAATACGAATTTCATGTTCAGATTTACCATTTTAGGAAGACGTGTACGGGCAAGAAAAACGAATCGAGATGCCATTAGTTTTACATAATTCATGCATTCGAGCATTGTCATTCCACTCCCATTATCACATAGAAGAGATTTAATAGTGAGCTCAAATTGTTTTTGGACAAATCGTTTAAAGCCACAAAAAATTGAGAATACTTGCGACTTATTAGATAACAGAAAAGTCCAAACGAAGTTTGTGTAATCATCTAAAAATACCAGATAGTATCGACGACCCATAGCACTTAAAACGAGAGACGTCTAAATGTCACTATGTAGAATATCAACTGGCATACATGTGGTAGAATTAGAAGAAACAAATGGTAATTTAATATTCTTGCCAAGGCAACACGAAGAACATAAATCTAAAAAACTAGATGGGTTACAATTAATAAACTTATTATGACGAAAAGAATTAAATATAAGTGCTCTTGGTAACCTAAACGTTGATGCCACAAAGAAGGAGTGACACCCACATTGGTAGAAAAGGATTTCTAGAGAAGTTAATAAGTCTTTCTTTAGAAATGGGCTTTGAACAAGTTGGTGGACTCATGGTGGGGGTCTTGAGTGGAAGGCCCAACACATACGCGCGCGCATGGCCGACGCTGAGGCCGAGGGTGCGGGATTCGCGAAGGTGGCGCGATGAGGTGCACTTTGCACTTCGCATGCCGCATCAGAGCAGAAGGAGCCTCGCCCCAAGCTCCGAGTATATTTTTGATACAAAGTCGAGAGGAGAAGAAAATAACTTATTCTTCATAAAGATAAAATTCGGATTTGACTGAGTCTAATCACATTTGAGATAATGATTCGGTTGGAAAAAATTCTCACCATGATCTGCGATTTTTTGGGAGGTGATCATGGAGAGTTTTAGGGTTTTCACCCAGTATTTATACTGGGTTAAAGCCATCTCAAAATTCATAAAAAAAAAACCAAACAGTTATTTCTTCCTCTCATCGTTGCTTCCGAATCTTCTTTTCTCTCTACCGATTTTTTAATCGACCGTGCTCTATATTCGTTTTTTTATCGCTGTTCATAAATGAATCGTATACTGCATTAAATCCTGGGGCTTTGCGACTAGCAGACTCACAGCATGTTTAGAGTGGTCGTATAAAACCTTAAAGGACAGGTTTTTCCGTGCAGATTACAATTCGAATCGACATTTTAATCAGGTTGGTTTTTGTATTTTGGCATTGCATTTAATTTTCTGTTCACTATGTGAACAACTTTGTTTCTACTTCTTTCTTTCATTGAACCTATCGCGAAGGATAGATTCAATCTGTGTGAATTGACACTTTGTTGAGGTGTTGTGGGTTCTGAACGTTAAAAGCTTTAACTTTGTGCATTAAAGATTTAAAGTTTTTATAAAAATTAAAACTTTATTTTGTTTCATCTATCTTACTCAAATATTTTTTTCAACATTATTTAAGGTTTTAAAACATAATGGACACCAGAAACTACCGTATTATTAATCAAGATATGATGAAACTCAAGAAGTTTGACGGGTCGAGTTACACTCATTGGGCAGACAAAGTAAAGTTCATGTTGATGGTGGTAAAACTCTACTATGTTCTGGACCCAAGCCTCCCACCTATTCCTGAAAATCCGGTCCCTGAAGTAGGGTAACAGCCGGATCTTCAAAGAATTGTTGATCTGGAAAAACTGAGAAGGATCTGCAAGGAAGAGGAAACTCTTGCTTGTGGACATATTAAGAATGCTATGTCAGATCGTCTGTATGATATGTATTCCCTGATTACGTGCCCTAGAGAGTTGTGGAAAGCATTGGAATTCAAATACAAGTCATAAGAAGATGGCACTAACAAGTATCTTGTGTCTCAATATTTGAGATTTCAAATGGTTGATGAAAAACCGATTCTGGAGCTACTGCATGAGCTCCAATTTTTAGTAAATAAACTGCCTCCATTTTGGAAAGATTTCAAATGCTTTCTATTGTTATTCCTTAAAATTTTCCAAGTACGGGCAGTGATTGACAAACTGCCTCCATCTTGGAAAGATTTTTCTATTAGAATGATGCATAAAATCGAAGATTATTCTTTGGATGATTTTCTAAAACATCTTCGAATCGAGGAAGAGGCATGTAATCGGGACAAGAGAGGCAAAACTTTGATGAATGCCAACAGTGTGCAGGCTGGAGGAAAGGGTAAGGGAAGGGTCGGAGGTCCAAACAGAAAGTGGAACTTGGGTCCACAAAAGAAGAGTTTCAAGAGATCTGGTAATCAATCAAACCCGGGGCAGAAATTTAAGAGGGTCAGAAGATGTCACGTCAGCGAAGATACGGAACACTATGCTCGTGAATGCAAGGACAGAAAGTCCAGACCCCCTGCTGCTAATTCTGTTGAGGGGATTCAACACCTTGTGGCGAATCTCCACATGGAAGAGATTGATATGATCTTAGAGGCCTCTACAAGAATTGTGGCTCGTACTTGGACTCTGGAGCCATTGTTCAT